CATTTCATGTTTTGCTTGGTAGTGCGACAGTTTCAGCTTCAACACGTCTGCTTCATACGGCTCATGCTCTCCTACGGTCGCGAAGCATTGCCGTTATCTGTGCTTGCATCTCTGGCTCTCAGCGGTGACGACCACGTGAGTGTCGACAGGAAACACTGTGGTAGTGTTCTGGTGCCAGGGACAATGGCGGCAGCATCCTCTACGGCAACCTCGGCCAATGTGGAGGCAGAGGTGCACCCCTCCGACAGCGAGGAAATCATGAAGAATCACACGGAGGAGGAGATCAGAGCCTACGATGAGGCAGCTCCGCGCACCCCGAACGGCACGCCGCTGCCGAGAGGACCACCCCCTCCTGTTGACCTGAGTCTGCTTCAACCTGTGGCCTTCCGTGTGGCGAATGCAGTATCGCAGGCCATGGCGGAGGAGGGTGTCGAGATCAAACAAGTGCTGGCGCTGATCCCGGAATCCTACCGGAACATGGACAGCTTGGTGATCAAGTTCCAGCCCCTCACGGCCAACTGGGCAGACCACCCGAACATCTTGATAACCAACCCCAGTGGGGATGAAGCTGAGGCAGATACGACGGAGGCCACGGAGGCCACGGGGACCGTGGACAATGCGAACCCTGCAGCTGATGAAGAGGAGATCTGGGAAGGAGAAACGAATATGGAGAAGCTCCATCGACTCGCTGCGGCGGGTGCTGAGGGTGAGGTGGCACGCATGATCATCGCTGCCATGAACAGGGAGGGAAGAACACTCATGAGCAATGAAGAGACTACGCTCTTGGGCTCGGTCATCCCACAGAGCCCCATGGCTGCGGCGGCGGATGCAGATGACGAAGCAGGAGGCACAGGGAACTCAGGAGAGGCTGGCTCAGCTTCAACCTCGGTGTCGGGCCTTTCAGCTACGGCGGCGCATGCAGTGGCCACGGCTCCATGGAGGGGCAACACGCGTCTGGCCACACCGACTGGCTCCAACTCCAACCGGAAGCTCGGGACTCAATCGGCAATGCTGTTTTGCAAACTGCAGTTGCTGAATAATAAGTATCCCTACCTCTGCTTAGGCGTCGCCGAACCTCATAGCCTGAGTAGCTCCCACCCAAAGGGTAGACTTGTGCTCTGGACACCCACACCTTACGGCTGTGGCTGTACATTGGCTCTCCGAGCCTTTTGCATCTACTCGACCTGTGGGCACAAGCTGGGGAAAACAATTGCGTCACTCGAGATTGAGTTTCTGTACGGTGAGTGCACTCCTTTCAATCAGCCCTCAGACTACCCTGGGTTGGCCAGGTACGTGATCGACCTCCTCCCTGAGATTGTGGCGGGTGACTTACAGTGTTACCATGAACCTGCGAGATACATACAACAAACTCATGCACCCACTGTGGTCTCCAGGATTCTACAGAGCCACCTGCTGATCTCTGTGATGGTCACACAAATGGTCTCGACCTTGACTACCGTCTATCTATTGCTCTACCTTGCAAAGATCTCTGCAGTGCACACTGGCAGCTCAGGTCAAGATTATCCTCCTTTCAACAGAGCTCGAAGCCGCGCCGGTCCCAAGTCCGGCGGCGTCTGTGGCAGGCTAGCAACCAGATTTCTACTTCGTACTTTGATGTTCTGCATGCTAGCTCAGACAGTCAGATCCACAGGCGCAGACGCGAGGGTTGATGTTGTGTCCACGACGGCATCTGGAACTGACAGGTATGACCTGAAGGTGAAGCACAGTGGAGCACAGAGGACCATCGGGTCCGAAACTCAGCCACGACCCTTGAAAATAGGCAAGCGCACCTACAACAGAGCATATGCGCGGGCAGTACGCATGGGAGGAACGCCCTTTCGGGGCAAATGGCGACCACTGGAGTGGTTTACTCCCAGGCACATCGTTCCGCAGTATGTTGGCAAAACCAAGTCGGAAAACAACACGGCCCACTCAATGAGGGTCTCCGGAGGCCTCACCATGGAAGTCTTCCAGGAGTTGCAAACTTTTGCGATCGCAGGTGACTACGATTTGCTCCTGATTCAGGAGACCAAATGGCGACATGATTCAACCTGGTCAACGGATGCTTTTCACTTCATACATAGCCAGGGCCACAACAAAGAGGACAAGGTGGCGGGACTGCTCGTCATGGTGGCGGTTAAACATACTAAGGCCGGGGACATCCAACACAGTGCCCTGCATCATGGACGTCTACTACACGTGAGGTTCCCGAAAGGCCAGACCCACATTGACATCCTCAATTACTATCAATTTGCTGCCAATGACAATGAAGGTGTGTACGAAAACAGGCACAAATTGTTGACCAAGCTGCAAAGGACGGTGGCTGGACTGCCGGCGCGCAACACGCTGCTCCTTGCAGGAGATTTTAACTGTCCCTTCGAGCCGAATGCGGCACATTGTGGTCGCTGTGTTCTGCCGCATAACACTCTGCACTACAAGGACTTTCGTGATCACCAGCATGTCGTCGAGGCCCTTCACCTGTGTGTGCTAAACTCATGGAGCAATCCCAGGCACGGACAATTGGCCACGTTTACCTTTGGCAAACTTGCTTCGCAGATTGACTATGTGATGATGCGGAAAACGCAGACGACCCCGCTGGCGCGCAGAGCTCAGGTTTTAGCCAATTTTCCTGTGGCGGCGTGGAGGGAGGGTGCAAATCACCACCCGGTCGAAGCATACATTCAGGTTCCCCGGAATGTTCGACATCTACATACCAAGTCGGTACCTCAATCTGCACGATTTGACAAAGAACAGCTACAGCAAGACCTGCAGATGGAACCAACTCCAGCCTTGCTTGCCCTACGCGAAGAGGCAGCTGCTCGCATTCAGGGTGCAGAGGACGCAAACAAAGTACTCCTTGAGGTGGCGATCAAGCACTACCCCACCCCTCCACGACCTCAGACACCACCATCACAGCCGGCGGCCTTAGCCAACTGCGCGAAGCATATGTGGGCCATCTTCAGACAGATGAAAGCGCAAAAACGCACAGCCAAGGGAGTACTGACTGCCTGGCACCTGTGGACCAGATTTCAGCAGGCTCATAAAGTGCACAAGCAACGATCCAGACGTCGTACAAGAGACAAAAGAGATGAACTTCTTGCACAGGCGCAACAAGCAGCCGAGAAGGGCAACACTTTTGGCCTCTGGAAGGTTGTGAAACAGCTGGCCCCCAAGGCACCACGCAGGCGCTTACAGCTGCACAGAGACGGAAGTATCTTGAACACAGCAGATGAACTAGCATGGATCGTCCAGGCCTTCGGCGACCGCTACGGCATGGGAACGACTGACAAAGGATGGGAACCTCAAGGACATGCTGCTCCGTACCCCCTGGTACAAGCCTCGGAACTTGCATATGTCCTTAGCCACCTCAATGTGCGGAAGGCGGTTCCTCGTGACTCGGCACCAGCTCTTCTCTGGAAGGCCTGTGGTGCCCATGTGGCACACATCATAGCGGATGATGTCAGTTCGCAATGGATGCAAACACCCACCAAAGTGGATCACAGATGGTCGGATGCTGAAGTAGCCCTGTTGGTTAAAGCTCATGGTCGTATGAATACTCCACTTGATCTTCGACCCATTGGGCTTCAGGATCCATTGGGGAAAGGCATCATGTCCATCCTCATCCAGCAGGCCAAAGAGGAAATCTCGCATCTCATTCGGAGGTTCCCGCAGACAGCATACATTGCTGGAAGGAGCACCAGCACGGCTCTACGACAAGTCTTCAGTCACTGTCGTGATGTACGACAAATGACCCAAGGCGAGAGACTGACCATTCACCAACGCAAGGACGGTAGAGCTCAAGCACAGTGCTGTGGAGGACTCCAGATAAGCCTCGATTTGTCGGCGGCTTTCGATTTGTTGAGGTGGCAGCACATCAAGGAAGCACTTGATTTAGCAGGCACTCCTCTTTTCCTACAGGAGATTCTCCTCACATGGCTTGTTCAGGTGCGCTACATCTTCTGGCACCGCGATCAGTCCGATGTGGTCACCCCTAAATGGGGTTTGCGCCAAGGCTGTACCGCATCTCCACTGTTGTGGTCAGCTTTTACATCACTGCTGTGCATTACTCTCGAGGCCAAGCTGGGAGATGGCTGGACGGGCAAACATGCTACTTTGTATGCAGACGACAGTCACCTTCGCTGGAACTTCCTCAACTTTCTCAGCTTTGAGCAAACTATGCGTGAAGTCCGAATAGCCCTCAATGTCTTCAGGTCCTTCAATCTCCAGATCAACATCGAGAAAACCAAAGCCATCCTCAAGGTTGTCGGCACCATGCGCACTCGGGTTTATAAGGAGTACATTCGCAAAACTGGCAAGGACACACCAGATCGTCTACTGCTCTCACCACGGGATCCCGACCAATGGCTACCGCTGGTCACCCAGACTGAGTACCTAGGACTCATCATATCCTATGGGGCGTTTGAACTTCAATCCCTCCGTCACAGAGTCTCCAAGGCTAACGGCCGGAGGTGGGCTATGGCATCAATACTTCACTCCAAAAAGATGGGAGTAGGCTACAAGCTTCAATTCTGGCGAAGCTGCGTCTTGAGCATCATGACGTATGGGCTTCACTGTTGTGGACTCACAGGTGATCAGGCTCAGGAAGCTCAACGTGCACAAATGAAGCATGTCAGAGCCATTGTGAACAACCAGGCCCACTTGACGGGCGACACCCATGAACAGATCATGCAGCGTTTCAATATACCACACTTTGCTGAGCTACTACGCCATGCACAGGAACGCGAAGCCAAAGCAGCCGACTTGCACCAGGACTGGATGTGGCATGCAGACTGGCAACAATATCTACTCCAACAGTTGCTTACCAGGACGTCCGACCACACTTCGAACGAGCAAGACGACATTTGGTCGTGCCCCATTTGTGAAGCTTCATTCACGAGTGCAGCTGCTTTGAAGACGCATGCCAGACGAACGCACTCCATAATTGAAGAACATCCTATTGTCTTCAATAAAGCTTTGCATTCTGAAGGTGGATTGCCTACATGTAGTGGTTGCCACAAGAATTTCTCCAAATGGCAGTCCCTGGCACACCACATCAACCAGAACAGCTGTCCCAACATGATCCGACAGCCAGTGCCGGTTGACAAAACAGGCGAACTTCGAAACATGCCAGTTGCAGCTCCAGATGACGGCACTTCCACCATCATATGTCAACAGCCAGACGTGGTCCAAGCTTCTGTGAAGGGCATCAATGCTTTCATTCCTCTTAAACACATCACTGCTGTTCTACGACAAACATGTGGATTGTGTGGACAATGGTGCTCATCTCACCGCACCGTGAAAAGACACTATCAGTATTCGCATGCCGATCTACTACAACAGCTTGGAGCAAACCACATCAGCCAACTTGTGACTCGCGCAGCCACGGCTAGTTCCACCTGCCACTACTGCGGGGCCACCTGTCGCGATTGGCGTCAGCACCTCAGCCGATGCACGGTGGCGTGGCAATGTTCAGTGTTGGTACTACGGGCCAGGGGACACCAGACATTGACAGGAGATGTTCGAGGATCCGGATCTGAACGAGTTCTTCGGCGAAGTGAAACAGGAGCCAACAGCCAAACGCCGACGCCCCGAGGAGACCTCCAGCAAACCACAGCTTCAGCCCGCAGGGGGACGCAAGGACGAATTGGTAGTTACTTTGGCAAGGCTGGCAATCAAACAGGAGGAGGAACTGCAGGTCCTGAAGCAGGATCACTCCTTCATGCTGTTCATGCGGCCAGGCAAGGACTCGATCTTGCATTACCTCTTCCAAACAGCCACCTTGTTCAAAAAGAAACAGGAGGAGTCTCCCACCTGGGGAGCAGCCTTCCAACCTCTTCGGGTAGTCCTATCCCTTGCACTCTTCCGCGAACTGGCCACGAGGATCGAGACGGTGGAGAAGGACGAGGCCAAACGGAAGGAGGCGGTGGACATGGGCTGGGTAACCACGGAGATGAAATGGAAGTTTCAGGTTTGGAACCCTCAACTAAAATGTCTTCAAGAAGACCGGGAGAGGCCTCCGATGGCCACCCAGGACATAAAGGCCCTACTGGAGCGACTTTATGCAACGATCAAATGCGACATTGTCACCAGGTTCAGCTGCACGAGACGGTTAACCGAAACGATGGAGTCACAGGCCTCCTTCTACTTCGACCTCTCGACTCGGGGCAAAGGGCAGGAAGCTTGGGAGATCATGCACACCTTGCAGGGCAGTTGCGTCCTGCAATTGATCGGCCTTGCGTACAAGAGGGCAGGTCTACGACGAGGCCCCCTCACCCAGAAGCTGAAGGATCTGCTGAACCGGCGCTGAGGCTCGTGTTCGGCAACGACAATCACAACAGTTGCTATATGAACAGCTTTGTGCAGGGTCTTCTGTGGGCAGTCACAACGACTGCGGAGACCTCCTTGCATTCACTCTCTTCAATGGGGAGCAGCGCTCAATACTTCAAACAACTCCTTCAACAAGTTCCCAAGACCAAGCACCTTACTAAGGACTTCATGTGGCGAGCCATGAATACAGGGTGGCAGGACTGGCAACAACAACATGATGTAGCCGAGTTCGCATCATTCTTCTGTGGACGGCATCGAGTTCAAGCGGTGACAGGAGAGTGGGAAGCTCGAACCTACGTCGACGGGGTGGGGCAACCAGGTGATGCGGGGCTCAGTACTCAGCCAATTCTCCTTGTCATGCCTAGTACGCCACCGGGCCTTGCACCAGAGCTGAAGGTCCAATCCCTGGTTGATTCGTGGTATGCTCAAGAAGCTACACATGCCTTTACAGTTGCTCCCTCAGTTCTGCTTCTACAACTTGGACGATTTAAAGTTGTAAATGGCAAAGTGCAAAAAGTTCACACCTCTGTGACCATCGACAAGGTTCTTTGGATACCGATTTATGAGAATGCCAACTTTCAGGTGGGCTCCGTGAAATACCGACTTGCATCAGCCATCTGTCATCACGGGCAGCATCCTCGAGCAGGACACTACCAAGCTCTGCTACATTCGGCCAATGGACTTTGGAGCTGCGATGACAATAGGGGCTCTCGCCGCTGCGATTTCGTTCCAGAATGGAGCAAACATAGTTGCTATGTGCTGATGTACACAAAACATGCACCTGACGAGAGCGAACCCCACTCTGTTGATGATGTCATACACTATTTTCCTACTCGGTATGCTTAGGTCTCTCGAGACGGTGCTGAGTAGTAAGGGTCAAGAGACAACCACTGTGTTGTGCAGCCAATTGTGCTGCCGGGCCTAGCGCTTGCTCGCAACTTTGTCTGTCGCTTGGTGGACCGGATCCGCTGCGCTTGAAGCTTGAAGCTGCTACTGCTACTGCTCCTGCTCCTGCTCCTGCTACTACTGCTGCTGCTGCTGCTACTGCTACTGCTACTACTACAGCAATACTAATAACAGAAACATTAGAACTAGTAGCACCGCGCCGCCACCCACCACCACCACCGCCGCCGCCGCCACCGCCGCCACCGCCACCACCACCACCACCACCAACACCACCACCACCACCACCACCACCACCACCACCACCACCACCACCACCACCACCACCACCACCACCACCACCACCACGATCAACACCACCACCACCACCACCACCACCACGACCACGACCAGCACCAGCACCAGCACCAGCACCACCGCACCACCACGACGAAGAGCGCGACTATCACCACGACGACAGCTACTACTACGATCACCGCCACCACCACCAGCAGGTTGGTGGTGATCGTGTTGCATCAAGCCTTGGAGCAACCGGGCTTTCTTAAGGATCTTGCAATCTAGGGCTGGGGTCCCCCATTTTAGAAGCTTTTGAACCCTGGTCCCTGGACGAACCCACACCCCATACCGACCTCTGAACAAGGAGCTCTGGGCTGTATCCTTTCCCCGTTCTTCCTTCACGAGAATGAGAAGAAGATCACCCAATGCATCCGCTTGTTCAAGAAGGAGTGGATCCGGAATTACAGTATGGAACGGTTTGTTTTGATGGTATTGGGGCATAAAGGGGTCTGGTTAATAGCATAGTAGGAGAATAAAAGGGTTTGCATAATCCGTAACACCTCCCCCTTGTTTAGTACCTTTTGCTTTTGGCATCATGTACTGTACCCCCTGAAACCCCTATCTACTGATGTTGAGGAGTCCAAGATTAGAGTGTCCAGAGGAGAGGATCTCGGGCTGATGTGTCGAGGATGCGTGATGAAGCAATTTCTTTTAAGTATCTCGGGCTTTGCGGGGGGTGGGTCGAGCAGTCGAGCAGATTCTGTGTTCCCGCTGGAGACCCCGAAGACGCATACCGGCAGTCCAGTGACAAAGGACCCCAGCAGCGTCGCGAAGGACCTGCTGGAGCTGTGCCTTGATCACTACTATTACTAGCTTTTCCCCAGGGAGAACCCGGAAGCCTCAAATCCGACTCCCAAAACTCCATAGCAGGCCCGAAGCCTTAAATGCTTCGACCCTATAGAGTCTCTGAAGCCCTGAACGCGCAAGCTGCAACAAGGAATGACGTGAAAGGCGGAACCTCCAAGGCTATCGCCGAGAAGCTGCTTCGCAAACTGTGCCTGGGCGTTTAAGGCTTGGAGGCCGTTTAGGCTTTTGCAGTTTGGGTTTTAGAGTTTCGGGTTTGTGTTGGGAGCCTCTCACATTTGGGTCCTGTTTCAGATCCTTGTAGCGCCATCATGAGAAGATTGCGGTATGTTCTGGGACTTTGGGTCTTGGAGGTGTGCCCCAAGCTTCGGAGGCAATGGTGCAGCTTCGTGGGCAAGGAACCCCGGGCTCTATAGCCCTTCAGGCTCCAGGATGCCCAAAGATGCGCTGTGGGGTTTGGGGCTCGGGATGTTTTTTGGACATCCTGAAGCCCATGCAAAAAAACGCACACAGCCTGCCACCCATGATTTGAGCCCTTGTAGCTGGTTGCAGTTTCTTCAAGAAGCAAACCTCGAGATTTTACTTCGTGGTCACAAATGCGCACCGAAACTCGTCGAGGGCATCCCGCAATCTTGGAGAAGTCGACGCCGACTGGATGAAGGTCCTCTCCACGCTGGGCCAGGAGAAGCTTTTCTGGATTGTGGTTGGCGTGCCAGCTTTGACTTTGTGGTAATGGGAGTCTGGGATCCTCAGACGCTTCACAGAGTTTGATGTTGGCTTTCATTTGTTTTACCCCGGTAGCCGTTTGATTCGGTGTGCATCCTTGTGTTGGCATGCAGTCTCTTTCCGATGGTCCTACAGGAAAATAGGCTGAAACTTTCGGAACACCCAGACATTCACTAGAACACATGGTTGAGGTGGAGGGATCCCTTCCTGGCAATAACTTCGTGGTTCCGCGCAGTCCTGCTCGAGCCTGGTCTCGATGACGGCCGTTTAAGTGGCTGTGTGAGACATCTGGCTGGCGTGAGTTATCCTTTTCTGGGTCTTGGCTCAGTGTCTGGCATGTTTTCGCATGCTACATGGAGACTTATTCGTGGTGCAACTGCTATGTCCCGCTGCTGTCGTATCACTGCACGGCACACTCATGCGGTCGGTTATGTAAGCGCACGCCAATTCCAGATGAAGCGGCGATGCATCTGAAGTCCTTGTGGTAACGGTAGGCCGAGTTCTCGCATGTCATCTCATCGTAGATACACGCACATAGCGACATCGCTTCGTTTTGTGCGTCGGCTGACAGGTGACTGAGTCCGTGTGAGTGGGTGAGGGCTCATTATCAGAGTTCATCACCCATTATTCATTATGCACTATGGTTATGGTATATCAGTCTCAAGTCAATATCTCTTTGGCCAGTTGCTATTAACTGGAACTTTGTTGCTGGCAGGACGAGTTGTCCGAGGACGACAAGCTGACGCTCACTCTGATCATGGCGAAAAAGAGGCTCCTGTTTTTCTGGGGCTTCCTTTGGCAACCTGACCATCAGACCGAGCCTCCGACAAGTCTAAGCGTCGCAGCCTGCAGGCAAACGGAATACCTGGCCGACAACTGGGAGGCATTTTGCATCAGCGAATGGCAGGGTACTCAGGCTATGGCTGCGGGTTCAGGCAGGACGAACGGCACCTATGGTGGACCTGCCGGAGGGGCCCAGGCCTATTCAGGTGAGTACTGTTTGCTCGGACTTGTTCCGGCCGCAGGGGGTTTTCGGCAAACCTCAGAAGCCCGCGATCGAACACTGTGGAATGAGGCTCCCTGCCATGGAAATCAAAGATATCTACGATCTCTTCCAAGAGCTGCGAAAGAGAGGCACGAGTCTGTCCGCCAGGTCGCTGAGTTACGAATGTAGCCGAATGTACGAATGTATGGATGGATGGATGAATGGATGAATGGATGGTTGGATGGTTCGATTGTTAGGTGCTGCAAAGCTGGACAGTAATGGACAGTATCTATGTGGGTATTTATGTGCGTACTTATGTGTGTGTGTATGTATGTATGTATGTACGTATGTATATAGCTGATTGCCCCAGGGCACCCACAGTGGTGTCGACGATCTGCCAATAGGGCAGTAGCTAGTCCTCCTTGGCACCGCCATAAGAGGACGCAGCGATCTCGAGTCCGCCGGCGACTTAAGGCCGGAACCACCCTCAGACGCCACGGGACTGGGAGAAATCATCAGCAGCTCTTTTCTCGCATGGGGAGAAACTATTATTTTCAGGGATGGCAGAAGGACAAGGAGGGCGAGATGCACTGGCTCGTCTGATCTGACAGGTGGAGGCTTGGTTGGAGCCCTTCAAGCACATATCAATTCGGGGAAGTCCGAGCTCCTCACCCAGCTCCGGAAGCAGCGAATAGCCCAATGGGACAACTAGAGGCCACCTTGCAGAAGTCCTTCCGGCAGGAAAAGGAGAGATTCCACAAGGCTGGGAGGCTGTGTCGGTGCAAGAGAGCACGAGTGCCGTGCTGCGCCAGGCCTAAGCAAGTGTCATAGCCTCGAACAGTGGAGTGGATGCCATCATGAGTCGTGTGGACCCAGGCTGGAAGAGGCTTGCAAGAACGGCTCCTGTCGAGGCTCGCGCGTACGATGTGGAGCCTGTTACCCGCATTCTGGGTTGAGATGTCAGCACATGAGGGCAGCTGTGGAAGGGGCCAGTGCCCCCGGACGCTGGCCGTCCCAGCGAAGCATATGTTGCGAGGGATGGGGCTGGCAACGGGCCCGCCTTCTACTCTAGAGGCGTTCCACCCGCTCCTTTTGCCGTCTTTACCGGAATGCCAGAAGCGGGCGATGGGAATGGGACCGCTTCGCCCAACCTTCGTCCTCGATCCACAGTCCCGCGTACCTCTGTGAAGACACATACGCCTGGAGAAGAAGCTGGATGCGTGCCGCGCGGCCATTCTGGCCTTTTGGAAGACGACGACGATGTGGATCTTGTAACAGAGGCCGAAGCTGCAGAGACGCTCTCCGCTATGTCGTGAGCTTGGGGCAGGAGGCAAAGGCTTGGGCTTTGCACGACGGTTGCCCCTGCAGTTCTGGGAGCCCGGTAGACGGTCAGCTCTGCTTGGGAAAAGCTGACGTCTTCAAGTTGCTCCGCGGGCAATGCAGTGGCAACGGTTTTGCTCATCTGAAGATCTTTAGACTCCTCCGGTCTCATTGTTCTTTCTGTACAGTAGTGAGTTTTGGGCCTCATCCCCTTGGCGTTGCCTTGCGTCCTCTTTCGCGATCGCCTGCCTTCCCTTCGGGTCTAGCCGGGTGTTGGCTTCTTCCTCTGTCGGCTACTGTCACTCTCTTATAGACAGAAACAAAAGACCGGCCTGCGCCTTGGTTGGGTTGGCTACTCCCGAGACGTTGCTGAGCGAGCCAGACTGCAGCACCTGCGTCAGATGGTCATGTCGGCACCCGATGAGCTATGGGCTGTCGGAGAACGCCTTGTGGCAGCGGCTCCGCTACCACTACTCCGCACCTTGGCCCTGGAATTGGGCTTCCTGTGCGACGACGAGGGGATGCGAAACCCATATGATTGATGGTCCGCTTGTTTCGCCTTTTTCGAATTCATGTGTTAGGCGTGCGTCTTCGACAGACTGAATCGCTACGAATGAAAAATGTATGGGTGTGTATGCACGTACGTACATACATACGTACGTATGTATTTGTGTATGTGTATGTGTATGTGTATGTGTAGGTGTAGGTGTAGGTGTATGTGTAGGTGTAGGTGTAGGTGTAGGTGTAGGTGTAGGTGTATGTGTATGTATGTGTACGTATGTGTACTGTATGTGTATGTATGTGTGTGCATGTATAAAGTATGTACGTATGCATGTATGTATGTATGTATGCATCTATGTATCTATGTACGTATCTATGTATGTATGTATGTATTGATGCATGTATGTATGTATGTATGTATGTATGTGCATAAATAGGATTGGCATGCACTGCTGCAATAGGACCAATAGGAGTTCCAGCGTCTCAGAGATGGAGAGCACAGACTTTCTCTCAACCTGATGCGCGAAACTTGTTGGTTTAGGACGCCAAACCCGGCCGTCCTCCAACTTGTCGAGCACTCGCTTCCGTAGATTTAGATGCGGTCCGTGCTTTAACCCTTGCTCCCAAAACACACAAGCGGGTGGTCCACGGTCCACAGTTTGCAACCCAAGTTTACGATCCCGATTTTGTGACCCCTCCGAGTGTGTGCACCGACGGACCAGTACGCCTTGATCACGCAAGCGATGTCAGGTGCGTTTTCACGGCCCCTATAAACTCCAAGAGTATGTTCTTCTTGAGGGGTATGGGGCCCACTGAGAAGGAACAGCCCTGTAGGCGAAGCCGAAAGATCGCCGCCCAAGCGCCGCAGAAGGGACTCCAGCGGGACCGGCGTAGCCTTCTTGGTGTTTAAGCACCAGAGAGATTGTGATCATGGTCCAGCACCTCCACAAAGCCTCCTGCTAAGTAATATTGAGGTCTAAATAAGCAGTAACAAATATCCACTCATCGTCCCTATGTGTGTATATATGGACATGTGTATATATATATATACACTTATATATATATATATATATATACACACCTATATATATATACATATACATATACATATCGCACCAAGAACCTCGTCTGGCTCTGTCCGAGTTGATCCGAGATGGATCAACTCCGAAATGCAAAAGAACCACTCATCCCAGAACCCCGAACTGCAGATTTTTTGCCGCAAGGAACTCTGCACCTTCCGGCCACAGCCCTGCTTACGCCGTGGGTCGCCACCTCGCAGAGCCTCGGTCACAGGCAAAGAGGTCGCACTCAATATATATATATATATATAGAGAGAGAGAGAGAGAGAGAGAGAGAGAGAAGGGCTGTGCTAATAGATACCTAAGCTATTTTGGAGGTTCCTTAGTACCCTAATCTAACTATGAAGTCCCCTATATCAGGGGCTCTCTTCAAATTAGGGGCTGGGGGTGCATTCCCGGTCCTTAAATGAAGGAACCCGCTATTTAGGGTCTGCTTTTCGGGTCCCTGGGTTTCTGGAACTCCCACTTGAGAGCTGTTGGGAGGCTGTTGGGGAGCACTGAAAGAGCTCAGGACCGGCTACATGAAGCTTCGTCACTGGAAGACCTGCACCGTCACAGAGACATTCTGGTGTCTTTGTACAACATGCAGGATCTGGGGTCTTGCTTGTTCTTACAATTTGGAGTCCTTTGTTTGTTGATCTGGTTCCACGTGCAGTTTCCCCATCAAGTGACGATTTAGAGCCAGTGAGAGGTTTACTTTTGCAGTAGCTTCACAAAACCAAAATCCAAAACCCTGAAACAACCCTTAACCCCGCACCCTTCCTTGCGGGTCTCGTCCTTCCTGACATGTAAACCCAAAGCCGTAAACCACTCACGCACCCGCTAATTCACCCACCCACCCATTCATTCACCCGACTCACCCACCCACCCACCCACCGACCCACCCACCCCACCCACCCAGTGGATTTTAGTGGACGCTTGTTTTGCAATGTTGTAGGCTGGAAGTTGAAGGAGCTCAGGCTTGTTCTAAAGATCCTCCTCCTACGGAGGGGCCGTTGGGATCGGGAGTGCGTACACCAGATGTGAGTTTACAGGACGCCCGAGGTTTCGGGGCTTAGGGCTGCTGTTTAAGGGTTTTCGGGGTGAAGGGAGATTCTTTGAGGGATGCCCGCGGTTTGAAACACGGAGAGTTATGTGGGTTCCCGGACATACCAGGTTCACATTCTCTTCCGCTTGGCCAGAATACTGTCATTGCTGCCGCCTCTGCTTGAAGGAGCAACCGGAGACGATGGCAGAACTGGCCGACTGGTTCCAGAAGAACTACGCCATCAGTGATTCGTGTTACTTGCGGAGTATCGATGCCGTTCTTCTTTGCTTCAGGAAGTGTTCAAGTAACGCAGGTGTAGAACGCAGGGCATGTTGTGACCGGATTGCAAATATCACTGGCCGAGTGATGATTACAAACCCCCTGGAAGGCTGGGCCGAAGAGGTGGACCTGACAGCTCTGGATGCACTGCTCACCACGCTGAGCTTGAACGACTGCCCCCTCGCGAGCCCTTTCCGCACGGCCATGGGTGATTTGGCCATGGCGGCGGGACGCCGGCATCAGACCAACCAAAAGGCAGCGGCGGCTTTTCGTGTCGCCATCGGTGCCGAACCGACTCGGCAAGAAGCCAAGGCCGGCACCTTCCGAAATTCCCACAACCTTCGACCCCCCAAAATGGAACCCTGTCTAGCTCTGCACACCTGCGCACTACCTGGAGAGGTACGACTTCTGGATGTGCTTCTGAGATCCCAAGCGCGCGGCGACAAAATTAATGCCGACGAGGTGGTTGCACTGATGGCTTCCACAAGAACCTTGTCTGTTTGAGAATCCTCTGCTCTCGTGCACCCGTCCTACAGCTTGAGCTGGAGTGTGGGTGCTAATACTCTTCGTCTGCTGCTCCTGGTATGAAAGCATTGACAACCGTTACCATCGTCGCCACACAGCTACCCACAACTACTCCTGACAACAACCACCACCACTACGACGAACGCTACGACGACGACGACCTTTACGATTACTATGATTACTACTGCTACTGCTACTACCACTGCCACAGCCACTGCCAAGCGTCTCGGCTCGCTTTGCCTCGCCCGGGGTCCCCATGAGAGTGTTCTTTTCCACTTCAGCTTCCCATTTCCATCGGTTCCGATTGCACTTCAGGACTTTTGATATCTCTGACTAATGACATGTCAGCCATGGACCTGTGTGCCCCCCATGGACACAACAAGATCCCACTCCGCGCAACGTGGTGGAGGTGGGAAACTGCTCAAGATGTGCGGGCTCTGCATCTGGCTACTGAGTACTTATGTATCGGATTACGGGGCTTGCCGATATCAGCCAGGGTGCACCTTCAGAACCTTTACGGAGTCTCCTGGCTGGGATCCTCTACGTACTGTATCTGGCAGGAAGCATGGTTATGGACACCAGCAGAGCATAGACCGGCCTTCATTGCACGCACATACGACATCAGCCCGGCATTTGCAGACAGTGTGGTGGATGGTGCCTATGCTGCTAGGATTGGCCGTTGTGAGGATCTTGACGCCATGGACTAAGACTGCAACGACACTCCCCTGCCGATACCAACGCCCTCCGGTGACGACTAGTCCCAGTTTGTTCCGGCTGGTATTCATTAGCCTGCTGCTTCTTGGAACCCTAAATTCACCAACCCCGGACCTCAGTAGCCTCAATGTGACTACAGATCACTGCCTGGCCAACTCCCTGTCAACTGGGACCCTATGCACAGCCACGGCCTCAGACTCGCCCCTGCCACGGCTTTGCTATCAGGGAATACCAGGTTGCAAGACCCAAAAGCCACAGCTACTCTGGAACAGGGCAGCCGCGATTCGGGTTACCTTAAGCCCCCACCTCAGCTACCCTCCCTCCTCGAGTGCCCCTACACTTAGTGGTAACAGGAGGTTCCCCTCCGACCCCCAGCTCTCTAGGCCCAGCCCAGTTAAAATCGGCAGCTATCCCAGGCCTGTGGCCGCACCGGCTCCTGCCTTGCTGGAGGCCAGAACAGGCTGCAGGGACACACAGGGTGAGCTGAACAGCACGACGTCAGCCCTTTGCAAAAATAGGTTCATCTCACTGTGCTGGAGGTTTCCCCCTCCGACCCTCCCCAGCTCCCAGACCTTCACATGCTGTCACCGGAGGTTCCCCTCCGATACCTGCTCTGACATGCCAGGCCATACCCAAGTTCAGCGACAGCAGCCGGCACTGGGAACTCAACGAGGACCCGCCTCTGCCGAACCTGCGTACCTCCACTTCTCAATGATCCAGAGCGACTGTGCATATCACTATTCGTCTGGCCTTCCTTCCAGTGCTGTCAGTAGCTGCATCAATTCCTTATTCACCGAAGCCTCTCTTGCTCAAAGTACCCAGGCCCCATGCCAGGACTCGGGGCCCCTACTGGAGCCAGGTCTTCTCCCTATGCCCAGGGAAAAGACACAGCGTGATTATGAGAGGGAGGCCAAGCGTCCTGACAAACGCACACGGGCGCTGCTGAAAGCTCGACAAGATGCCACTGATGTACCCCGCGAAGACTCCATACCAATTGTGCCAACTGAGCCTCCCCTGACTGTGTTTGCGGCAGTCAGAAGGAGGGTAATTTCAGGGAGTCGGATCCCTCCTCCTCCTCCACGTGCTCCTGTTCGACGACCTGAACCACACGAGGAGCTGGCACCATCGGAGCATCATGACCTTGGAGCTGCGGCAACGGATGAAGAAGAGATGGTCTCGGTGGAAGTCGAAGTGGAAGGAGAAGCAGTCGTTGAGGTTCCACCTCCGGCAACGCCACCACATCCGGCCCCGACCTCTGATGCACCCGAGGCACCTCGCACCCCTACAGAGCAGGTGACTACATCTCCGGCTGACGAACCTGAAGCAGCACAACCGACGAAGCCGGAAGGAGTCTCTGCAAATCTTGGCTCTAACCCAGAGAAGGCGACGGAGAAGCCCTTCACTCCACTGCCTCCCAAGCCGAAGGTCAAGGCGAAGCCACTGTCTCCGCGTTTTGCCAGCCCAGTGGAGCCCCAGGACGAGGGCGGGGACAACCAAGCAGGAGATCCTCTAGCAACGACTCCAAGAGCAACTCAGTCCAAGTCTGGTCGCCTTCCAAAAGGGTCGATCGGACGACTCCTGCAGGAGAGAGCGGCGGCTCAACTGAGGACTACAAAGGCCCGAGCCCCTCGGGCCCCCAGTGGTGCTCCTGCGACGTCTTCATCCACGGCAGTCAAGTCCAAAGCCCAGCCGAAGCGGAGGCCCGACCACGACTCTCCTATGACAACTACCATTCCTCCGGAACTGGAGGTTGTGCTTCCCACACCCTCGACCGACACACCTGGAGACGTGGAGTTCACAAGAATCGGGACCCTTACCCAGGACGAAGCGGCTGATCCTAACACAGGTCATAGACAGTGGTTTATCACGACTCCATCCAATCCGGAGCCGACGCCTGTGCTTGACATGCCAGAATGGATCCGGAAGGCACTGGAGATACGACCCGCAGAGCCGGCACCACATCCGCCGCGACCGAAACGTGCCAGACGCAGCACGGTAGACTCTGTACAGCCACCGACAGACACAGACCAGAAGCCAGCGAGTGACTACATGAAGTGCCCTGCTCATGCTAACGCTCATGAGGTGTGCCGCCAGCTGGCCCCCACCCCTGCCTGTGCATCAGCCTCACTCGTCCTTAACAATACTGTTTCCCGGTGCAGGACCCGGCAGATGCGATCACAGCAGGGGCACTCAGTCACTTTGTTCGGCCAAGCGGGAGCTAATCTGTCACAGTCTTCACAGATGCCATTCCCGCCGTTATCACTCAGCAGACTGGAGGTTCTCCCCACCCTCCGCCCAAAGCTATGCAGTGCCCACAAGCCTATCATCCTATCCCTGCAGGGACCTCACATCCCTCTGGCTCTGATCTGTTCAGCTGTTGGACTCCCCCCGCCGCTGAGGCCTGCCCGACAGAGTTCGACACCGGATGCACCACCACCAAGGACCGATCGGCGCCATCGAGAGTTTAAGCATCATAGGGACAGAAACTCTCACCTTAGGAGTAAGCCAGTTCCTTCATGCTCTGCCTCGCACAATCTCCTCCCTCCAGCCATCTGGCTCCCATGTGCAGCCCTGCCCGAGCATAGCAAGATGAGCCAGAGTGACGACTCTGACATGGCAAACCCTGCTCCGAACAGCTCGGATCTCGAAGATTTCATTTATGGGGGTGAGGCTTCCTCTCCAGATGCCGGAGTGGGCTTTCTCTCCATTGATGGCGAAGCTGCACCGATACCTTCTACGGTTAGCCGAACAGCAAGCCCCGCTTTACCTCCCAGAGCAGGCACACCGGTGGGAGAGCTTCTCTCTCGAATCCCAGGCCACCACGGAGGTCCGCATGCAGAGACCCCCTCAGGATCAACTGAGCCAGCTTCAGGCCTGGATCGCTCTCGCAATCGTAAGAGGCGGGGAAGCAGCGGAGACACAGTGCCACGACCGCGCCCCAGCATGGCTCCTCACATCAGTGCAACTACCTCTGCAAGTGAAGGAGAAACCGCCTCCTCGGTGAGACCAACAGACAGGCGACACGAAGTGCGAGCAACCCTTGGGGATCCTGAGACGACGATAGACCATGACGATGGCTTTCTACCCGGCGATCTTCTGCCAGCATCCTCCTCCTCCTCTACTTTGCCTGAACAGACAGTGCCGACCCTAGAGAGGACAAGGTCCCGCCAAAGCACAGCCTGCGCAAAGCTGCTGGTACGCTCAGGCTTCCGATGTAGAATCTGTTTCAAAATCAGGGCCACTGCTGCCCAGATCATCGCAGACCGATGCCAGTGTTTGAAACAACCTCCGGATAGCCCGAAGTGCGTTTTGTCCAGTCAGCCACTGCCTTCCAGGCCAGCTTCAGCATCAATCCCTCTGTTCCCTAAGCCCCATGCCTGCCTGCTCAGCTCGTTATGGGTCCCGGGAGACCCCGGCATCCCCCTCTCTGCAGCAACCTTGTGCTCCCCTCAGTCCTGCGGTCAGGACTCCAGCTCAGCCGGCCAATCCAACACCAGGCCACAGCAGGGAGCTCAGGATGCACATCAGTGGGGTCAGAAGTTCCGCCGTGTCAAGCCTAAGCCCCGCTCCCACCGAGATCAGAAGCTAAAGTGGATGGTGATGCGAATAGACTTCAGAGCCCTGCTTCACTTAGCAAACAAGTACCTCCGAGCTATTATGCACAGACCAGAGATGGATAACAAGGCCCAGTCCTCTCATCCCAAACTTGTGCCTCCCACCCCCTGCAAAGCATTGAATCTGCTAAATCCCCCCCGATCAACATGCGAGTCATCACATTTGAGCCGTCCGGGTCCCAAGTCCCGGAGCAGACTGCTGGTCTACTGCCTGTTCATGCAAAGCATTCAGACCTCCACCAGCATGCCTGCAGACGCGAGGGTTGAGGGCGTAGTCACGAAGCCCTCTGGAGCTGGGATTGTCAGCACCAACCAGCCCGACATGAGATCAGTGAAGCCACGTGGAATTGACAACAATCGGATTGCAATGCCACCCGCCCGCACCACTGGTTATGAGCAGCTTACGAAAACTGGCAAAAGATCTTTTCATAGAGCCATCAAACGCGCAACACAGGCCGGCAGTACTATGTATCGAGGCCGACTGCATACCGTTCGGACCCTAGGATCTCCCACCACTGCTGCCTCCTCAACGCCCTCCACTGAGTCTTCCAGGCCAGTCCATCACCTCCAGCCTCCACGACCCTCGGAATCGTCCAGGTGGAGGATCGTCATGTGGAACGCTGGAGGCCTCACCACCGCTCGATTGGCTGA